TTTGACAGAGCTTGTCACAATGCACCATGGGATTGGCTCTCCCATGAACACTGTTTAAAAAAAAAGAAAAAAAAAAAGTAATGGTAATTTTTTTTGCCAGGACATTATGCATTAATTTTTATAATTTATTTATTGAATTTTTGTAATGAACATTTCTGTTAACTCTAAAACACAATGCAATGAAGAGCATAATTGAAAATACAGGTAAAACACCTGTAAAAAATGTTCACCCTCTGCTGCCAATCTTTGCTGATAAGCCACTAATGAAGCCCACAGCTCACTAGGTTTTGGAACACAGCCTTTTCTTGTTACTACCATAGACTATGAAAAGTGATCTGTAACACAAATGCGTACTATGCTTTAAAAAGCAGTCCAAATAGATTACACTTTTATATTGGGACACTTTTATTTACAGAAGAAAAATTACACTGGATTACAAGAATTCCACAAGTACAGTTGGGCTTATGGAGTGCTCCCTTTAGATTGCTGAAAAGAAATGGGCAACATTCTACAATGTTCTATTGCGCTGAATGTGGAGAGCCAGGTGTGAAATACAATGCTGAAATAATGTAGTTTTTTTTTAGAAAAATGTGTTGGCCCAAACCAAAGTGAACAGGAATTAATACTCAAACTCTGACTGGTAAAATGAGCATGCCTCTAAGCAGTATGCCATTCCCATCCTTAATATTGCAACACCAAAACAGCAAATTTTATAGCTATACCTTTGAGATGCATCTGAACCCATCTTCCTGGGCATCTGCCCTTCTTTAGCTCTAGATAACTTTCAGTCAGTTGGACAGAATATCTTTTCTGAAAGATAGCCAAATTTGATCAACATAATTCATAATCAGTTATGTGTCACACTAAGACAGAATGAGTCATATTTTTTCCATTTGTGAAGCGTTCCAAAGAAATAACAACTATATTTACATTGGTGTACTTGAATAGGTATTTATATTTTCCTTATATTCACGTAAGACTTGGCAACCTCTACTTTCTTTACGTCACTCTCTCTTTCTACACTCCATGCTCGCTAGTACACACATCCAAACACCCCGAAGACAACACGTCCATGCTCAGATGCACTCACTTACAAACTTTCACACGTTTATAAAGGAAATGCACTCTTTTTTTGTTTTTGAAACATCCTGATATGAAAGTATTACACATAATTTGCGCCTCTGATTCTGATGAAACAATAGCATTGAAAACAAGGACATATTTTCATCCACAAATGCACTTGTAATCTATGAGAAATTCATTGTCCAAGCCGAAGATTTGGGCATGTATCAGCGCTCAATACCGGGACCACCCATGTACCATGTAGCTTGAGGTCAAATGTGGTTGATCCTCGCTTTGCTACTGAGCATTCAGTAATTTCTTTGCATTTGGGCGAGACATATAGAGGCAAAAAGGCAAAAAAATAAACACGTTACCCAAACAGTTAATCCAAACTACATCACAGACCGCAAAAAGAGGTTGGGGATTTCCACGCGTACTGTATAAGGTTGAGTGATATGACGCATTAAAAAGCGATGTTTGCGCAACCACACTGGAAAAGTGCAACAGCCAGATCCCAAAGAAAATGGGAATGAGAGAGAGCAAGAGAAAACATGAAGCTTACAGCGTAAACCCAACCTGTTCAAGTAACAAAGAATCAGACTCAAAGCAACAGCAAAGCCTTGAAAAAAACCCCAAAAAACAGAAAAACAAAAAGCCCAAAACAAGCGTGAACAAGCACAAATAAACAGGAGCCTGTCTGTTGAGTGGCAACCTCCGAAAAATGTTTCACAAAGCAGTTATCGCATAGCCTCTTCTGATACCCCGGCGATGAGTCTCTAACAAAGGATCTTACAATTGGTTGGCGTGTTCTTGCTTGTGTTCTCATTAGTTTGCTTGCTATTGGTCTCCGAGTGGCTCACTTTGTATGTTCTTTTAGAGGATAGCAGGGCCTCCATTACGCTTTACTGTCCTCCTGTGTCATGTGTAGGCTGTTGTCACCGTGAACTTTGATCTCGATTGTGTCTGGTTTCAGCGTCTCCTTGCCGTTTTCCTCTTTTAGTGGTAATTTCCTGTGGGAAAAAAAAGTGAAGAAATGGCACGTACACATTGGTCAGTTTGACAGGGTCGACAAAAACACATTTCAATTAACAACTGGATACTGTGGGTACCCTGAGGCTAAAATTGAGACTTGGGGTCATTTTTACAGACCAGAGTCCATTTGTCACCACAAGTTGGTTTGTTTGGTTGGTTTTATGAACTTTTTGTACTGTTGACATGCTTTAAAAGATGGCTTGGGGTCAAGTTTATACCAAGCACTGAACTACACAAACATATTTAGAATTTTTTAGAAAATAGTCTACTATGTTCACCAAGCTTACATTTATTTGATCAAAAATTACAGTAAAACAGCAATATTCTGAAATATTGATAATATGAATAAAAGTATTTATTTCTTTCAAGAAAAAAAAAACACATTATGGAAATAAAAAGTAAATGTTAAGTTGACTTCAGTGTCACCCTAGGTTTACAAATGTATGTTTGTTTCTTGTGTGATCCTCTTGGGCCACATAGCAAGCGGTGTGATTCTCAGTCACATCTGTGCATGATCTAAAAGACCCCTGTGTGGCTCTTCATCACATGGGATGACACTGGAAAGGAACCAGCCTCTGTTCACTGGGATCATCATCACTCTAATAACATTATTAAAGTCTAGGCTGGGGCATTTGGGAAAGTATAGAGCGCATATCAGTACGCCATAGTCTATGTGCTAGAACAGTGTTTCTCAACCTTGGTCCTGGGTGCCCCCCAACACTGCACATTTTGTGTGTCTCCCTAATCAAACACACCTGATTGAACTCATTAACTCATTAGAAGAAACTCCAGGACCTGAAATGGGTGTGTCAGATAATGCCGAGTTCACACTGCACGATTTTCAAACGCCGTTGTTTTCACACTGCGTGACTATCTGGGGTAGCATTCAGTTGCTGCTGTCACACAGCGTGATTGTGAATCGCCGACAGCTCCAGATATTTAGCATGCCAAATATTTTGCGGCGTCGGCGACGTGTCGGCGATTCCCTCAGATCGCGTCTTTGATAATTCACACTGCGTGATTGTCACTCGCGTGAACGAGCACCGATTTGCCTCCGATTTCGGGCATTTGTCTGCGATTTCGCAAAACCTGTCGGCGAGTGAAAAATCGGGCTAAAATCGTGCAGTGTGAACTCGGCATAAGGGAGACATACAAAATGAGCAGTGTTGGGGGGCGCCCAGGACCAGGGTTGACAAACACTGTGCTACAACATCAAAGCCGTGCTGCTTGTTATCGGAGCTGAAGACAATCACAGCCCTTAATCTCTTTGAACTTCTGGCCAAGTAAACCTGACAGGAGTTTTTCCAGCTGGGAATGACCCAGACTGGCACTGCGTAACTATAGGTCAGCCATCCTGCAAACCTTCAGGACAAAGTCTACAGAGGAAATATGTCAGGAACCGTGAAGACACTGACCAGGGCCAAAACACATACTATACTCATCAAGCAATAAACCACAGATTACACAAGTCAATGAGTGATTCATAATCAACAAACTGATAAGACTGTACACTATACTTCTTTGATGCACATGTTCCATAAATAAATACTGTCTAACTGCTACTGTACAACTGTTGCTCTGTCACACCTAACTCTTTCCCACAAACTTGAGGACTTTGTATTGCCTGATGTTTTGCTGTCAACTGATGACAAATTGTTATTGCCAGTGTAAGGTGACGTTACTTTCAGTGTAAGGTAATGTTACTTTAACATTACTAAAGTAATGCATTACAATGTGGTACTCATAAAAACTAATGATGTTACATTATTACTTTCTGTGAAAAGTAACACGTTATTTTTTCTAACCGATATCTGACTGAGGCTCTCATTTGAGAACGGTTTACAAGAAAATACTATTTCATTTTTTCTACTTCAAAATGTTACATTTAATTCAAGGTGTCACTTGATGTTTCCCTGTAATTGTTTGTGAAATTTACTAGCAATTTTTGAATTAAAATTATATCTACACCAATTTTTTTTCCAGTTTTGAATGAAAATGCAGCTTTAAAATAAATAAATAAATATTGAATTTCAATACTTATATTTACATGGGAATTAAAGCCAGGAAACAGTGCATTATGTAATTGAACATTACATTTTTGTCATTTTTTAAGGCAAAGTTTATCCACAACTGCTCTGAGGCATCACTCAGTTTAGTGTTTTGAAGATTTTAATGCATTACATGAAATATTAAACTGAATTTGTCATTAAATGAATTAACTTAATTAAAATAGATGACAGTTTAGTAAGTAACATAGGACTTATCTTGTTGCTTGAAAAAGTATTCTGCTTACGGAACTTTAATTTTTCAATCTCTTTGGATAAAAGTGTATGCTAAATAAATGCATAACTGATGCAGAAGGGATACTCACAGGTAGGCAGCTTTGCCCTACTCTAGCTCTTTGCTCTTGCCGCTTGTGGCTGTCTTTTTGCTGCAGAGCTTGCGGGTGATGCACATGAGCAGGCCGCACTGGCGCAGGAAGAAGCAGCTGATGTCCACTAGCACGAGCAGCAGCAGCAGGCCAGCTAAGCCCAGCCCAACCACTGCACCCAGGCCTAGGCCGCTGAACAGCGAATCTGCTGAGACAGGATGCACACATAACCATCAATGATGCGCCTCAAAAACGCAACACTGTACACTTATTTAGGGCAAACTGAAAGGTATAATGAATCAGTAGTATTTAGTCAAAAATCATGGTTATTTTTACAATTCAGAAAAAAAAAACAAATCAAATAACTGAAATGGCTCAAACTAGGAAAGCATGTAAATAAGTCAATTAAAGCATTCATAAAACATAATATAACAATTTTCTACCAACAATGCACTAAATGTAGCTAGCTCATGTAGTTTAAATTTGTATCAAGAACTTTAAGGTGATGCAACTTTGGTGACATTTTTAAACTGAAATTGTCAAGACTTTGCATGAGGAAATGAGGCAGTCTGAGAAGCTATTCAGAAGAAAACATCCATTTTGAAGGGACATTCTGGGCAATGCTGCTGCTCTAAACACATCAATCACACATGCTGTTGAAAGTAGCATTGCCATTAGCAAAAGCATCCCAGAAGTCTGTAGATTGATCTGGACACAGTGACAGGGCATCAGAGTGAGAAAAAAGACAGGCATAATAAACAGAAGAGAACTTTGAGGAATTCAGTGTTGGATTTACAAAATGATAAAAAAAAAATCACATCCACCACAGGGTTATTATGGTCAACTGAAACTAAAATTGTTTCTTGAAATAAACATTTATTAAAATAATTGAAAAAAAAAAATTTCATAATCAAAATTTCTCATTCAGCTGAGTTTAACTTGAAGTGCTTCACTGAGGAAAATGGTAACATCTAAATAATCCTTTTCCAAAAAAAAAAAAGAAAAAAAAAAGACGGCACTGAATCAACCAAAGTACATTCATTTATACCAACAAAACTACTTTTTATGTGTTAGAAAAAGTAGATTTACTTTTACCTGATAAAAAGTAACTTTTTATCAGGTAGAAATAGTTATTTAAGGCATCAATTGCAGGTTACCACTTACAATGTAAAATAACACTATAACTAACAACACTAAACTAAAACTAATAAATTAAAATTATTAAAAAATATACTGAAATATATAAAAAACAACAACAAATAAAAATGACAACAAAAATAATCTAAAACAACTTTAAACTAAAACATTAACTTTAAAATTAAAGTGTAAACAGATATAAAATAAATAAAGAAATAATTTAAAATATTCAGAAAACCTATGACAGTATATTGTTAATACTTCAATAACACCTCAACCAGGAATATATTTACGTTTCATTTGTGAAGACATTTATTTAAATTTAACAACATCAACAACAAACCATCACCAAATGAACATGCTGTAATGTTTTTAATTGTCCTTATTTAAACCTATGATTACGACCTCTAAACTTCAGATTAGGAACATCATTTGACCATCACGATCTACTAACCATTTACAAATGTGACCATGATGCAACAGCATATCGGTTTATACATATATGAGTGGCCTCAGATCTAAGACCTCAGATTTATTGACCCTAGTATGGTCTTACTTTTGATGCATGGAGCACATGACCACCTCCACTGTGACTTATCAGTCAACACATCTGTTTTTCACCATCTTGTGCCATGCTCGCCCTGAGAAATGTGTCCCCGCTCCTATAGCTGATTTGTTGTTGATTTATAACATCATTAGAAGCTCAATTTAGGATCTCGTTAATATCACTTATCCTGAAGTTCCACAAATGGGCGTGATCCATCTGCATCTGAGTTCAACGCACTTAATTAATTAAGTACGAATGGTGATTGAGACTCAGCATTGAGAAGCAATAACTCAAGCTCGATTGATTGTGTCTGGACTGAAGGGAGGTCTGTGGGTGGGATCCCAGCAGATGATTGACAGGGTAATGAAGCTTGTAATCATGTGTGGGGCTTAATGGCTGTGTCACGCTGATACATGACTAAGTAGGGCTTAAACAGATCCATGGTTTTCTAGTTTGTAACAGTTTTACATGGAAAAACTTTCAGCGTGAATTACAGGCAACAGGAGTGTTTGAGATCCCGTTAATGTACTCTCTTCAAGGTTGAAATACTGTATATCCCTTGGCCTTTGAGCTGCACCATTTAATCATTCAAACACTTACCTCTGCACTTACAACACCAATAAATGCTGTAAGCTGGAGACAGGCAGGGGTTTTAAAAATAGGCTTCAGTCAAACCTGAGTAAATCTGTTATGAGATTCAGATTATAGTAAAATACCATGGAAATTATACCCTTACATCATGAATATCCCAGTAAATGTTCTGGCAAATGCATCTTATGTGCTATGACAAGATCAAGTAATGCCTCTTTCTCAAAGTGCAGTCATTACCCTTATAGTCTGATTATATTACATTTTCTCAAGTGTAATCAAACTGAAATGGCCTGCATACATACACATACATATCCATATATATATATACTGTATATATATATATATACTGTATATATATATATATATATTACATACTGCATATATATCACACTGCAGTGCCTCTAGATATATTTGTACAATACGTCAAATGTATTTGATATGCCATGAAAAAACATCAGTATTTTTTGTTACCAAGCTACTAAACGGCCAAAGTGCACCTAGCCCACCTAAAACGACACTTTTATAGCTTTCTGGGTTGTGTTAAGTGAAAACATTGAGCTGACCAGTGACAGTTTGGTCCTTTTTCCTAATCAACCCATAAAACCCAAAGAGCACTCCATAAAATGGGACAGTTTTCTTATCTCCAGGCTGAAAGGCTTCCTTCTGGAGTTCTGAGATAATTTAAAGCTTTGGCCATTATGGAAAAGGTCTTGAGTTTTAAGATTCCCCCTCCTCCTCTCCTCACCCTATGCTGGCCCAGCAACCTCTGCACTACCTACACAGAGGACACAAGCCAAGCATGACTCCATAATGATGGTTTAAAGACTCTAATGCTCATTAAGACACTATGCTTGACGAGCAGAAGGGACCCTCCAGCCGTTAAACGATTAATAGACCGACTGCCGTCAGGATAGCCATTTTCAGTGGCAAAGATGTCTTTGCGCAGCATGAGGTTGGACTGATGGGTCAGAACGAATGAAATGGGTGTCAAGTGGCACCAATTAGACGTCACTTTTCCATAGTTTTAATAGAATTCTCTATGACACTTGTAGTGCATCTATAAAAATTAATATTATAGTAACCATTTCATTAGTTGGTTACATACGAACGCAACATAATTCCAAATGAATTTCACATTCAAATGGAGGATCTGAAATAATTTTGCTGTTGACTGTTGTCCTGTATGTTTCAATAAACATCTTTCTTTAATTTTCTTTTAACATAACAATTCTGATACAATAAGCTCAATTCTCAGACAGCACAATCACATTTACTTAATTATTAATATCATAAATAGCTGCCATTTTAAAGGCGAGGTTCACCCAAAAATTCTGACATCACGTTCTCACCCTCATGCAGTTCCAAACCTGTATGACTTTGTATCTTCTGCAAA